GAGCTATCCCAAAAATACCCTTAATGTCTAGGAACTCGAAGTGCATTCTGGTATCAAGCTCTATAGCAAGGAGACGATTCGCTGCTTAGCATTATTCGAGTGGTTGAGAAGGCCAAGAAATTAACTGGCCAGGATAGGCGCTAGACTGATTCGTGAAGGAACAAAGCACAAATGCAAGACCCGGGCTACTCAGGTCAGTGGAAGGCCCCATGACGGAGAAATTGTGGAGAAAGATGACAGAGAGGAGCCATTGGGACCAGCGGTTCTCCTTCTCCGCCTAGCAAAGTCTACGGTCCGTTGTGTCGCGGTTCAGAGGCTAAAGTTTAGTCGTGTCACGTCGGACGTTTGGTTGTTAACTAGGAGAACTAAACATGAGTTAATTATAAAACTAATTACACAAGAGTAAACTAATTAGCGAAACTAATCTATTAAACCTAATTAATCCATAATTAGCAAATGTTACTGTAGAACGACATTATCAAATCATGGACTAATTAGACTTAATAGATTCATCTCACAAATTCGCCTCAATCTGTGTAATTAGTTTTATAATTAGTCTATGTTTAATACTCCTAATTGATATCAAGATTCGACTTGACAGGGCTAAATGTTGGCCGAGGGAAGCAAACACTGTAGCGCAGGCCGCGAGACTGGAAATTCTACAGTCCCAACATCAAAACATGTCGTGGTCAGGCTTTTTCTTCCACTGCTACGGTTACCAAACTTTGCTAGTACATGGTGTCTCTGGTACAACTCCGGTATCCACACGTAAGACATGGATCGCACCACCAGGGACGGTTTAGCCCACAAGATGACGACTTGCGGAGCACGACACTGATCGGCGCACACCGCAAGGCATCGAGGCGACATCCTGAAGATGGCACAAGATCTCTTAGGATATGCCGTATATTAGATTCCTTGTAAAGATTATCTCTTACCCGATTAGACTAAGATCTAGTCGACTTGTAAACCTACCCCGGTCTATATAAGGCGGGTAGGGGACCCCTCAAAACACATTCAATCATATCGAATAGCCAATACAAACCAACAGAACACATGACTTGTATATTACGTCGAGCCGACGGCCTGAACCTGTCTAATCTTAGTTCACATACACCTCTCCGTACAATCTACGTATACCCCTCGGTGGACTGCCGACGATATTCCGTCGATAGACATGGACATGTACAATCCACGCACAAGGTGTTATTTGTAAGCTCTTGGGAATTTATGTAGAGACGACTAAATAGACAGTTTGTGCAATGCGTCGTATATTCACTGTCTGTAAATTGTTTAATGCATGCATGGAATCATGATCAAGTATGAATAAGATCTTTCTATACCATTTTGGTGTCTCTTTATACAAGAGAGATCATTTATAAATAAAATAAATGTGATTATAATTTTTCTAGAACCATCAATATAATCGGATATATCAATATATGTTGCAATATATGTTTAAACAGAAAAAATTGATCACACTGACCAATTTGTTATATTCTAAACACAAATGAAGACAAGATTAATTCATGTCTAAGTAGACATAAGATTATCAACTTAAGAATTGTATCTACTCATGGATATATATATTTCACACAAATATGTAAAAAGTTGCGAGACTTCTACTCTCTTCAAGCATTCCTAAAGCAACAAAAGAGGGAAAATAAAAAAAATAGATGAAACAGATAATTTTTTGTCACTAACATGTGGGTTCCACATATAAAGGAGACGGAGCTTTCTCAATCTGCTAGAGCACATAACGATTATGCTTTGCAATTTAGTTTTCTCAATCCCCAATACTCGATTTTAAGGAAAGTGGAAAGGAGATATGGCAAAAATGTTCTTATATGTGCTCAAAAAGATATAATCCTGATAGCATTAAAAAATTAGAGTTACATATCAAATATAAGAAACTGGACTACTAACAAATGGTAGTTCTTTAACGTGAGGAGTAATCATAAAAATCATGAAATTCAATCAAGATTTTTACACCATCATGAAAGGGCATAGAGATTCTTTTGTCACTGAGGGCCTGTCTGGAACTGCTCCGTAATCCATGCTCCACAAAGTTCACCGTGGAGCAGTTCCACAAAAACATAGAGTTTTAGAGCTTGTTTGGGACAGCTCCTTCAACGAAAAAATAAATCTGGATCTAGCATTCAGTGTGGAGCAGCTCCACTAGTGGAGTTGAGATTCACTAAAAAACTGTTTGACAAAATAGGCAGATCCAGATCCACCAAGGGCATTTTGAATGGAACAACCTATTTTGCCCTTGGAATAGGCCCACTTGTCAACGTCTCAGCTTTCTTCCTCGAGCAAAAAAAATCTCTCGCCGCTGCTCCGACAGCCACGGCGCAGGGAAGGGCCTGGATCGACGGCTCGTTGGTTGCGAGACGGCTGTCGCGGCCGGGGCCGGAGCTCGCAGGGGCACGGCCATGGCGGCCTCTCCAGGCTCCGGCAGCCACGACCAGGGGAGGAGGGGGCAGCCGTTGCGACCGGCGTGGGGCGAGGCCAGAGCAGAACCAGAGACAGAGAAGAAGAACATGGTCGGACCAAAGACGGAGAAGAAGAGACGGGCACTGCTATGGCCGGCTTCACGCGCGGTGGCCGGAGAAGGGGCATGCGGGGCTGGGCAGGTGCGACCTCGCCTCGCCACGAAGAGGCGTGGAGCCGAGCAGACGTGGCCTCGCCGGGGAGGGCCGGGGCGGCAGCAGGGGCTTCGCCTAGGAGGGGAACTGTCGGGAGGAGGGGCGCCGGCCGCGGTAGGGGGTCGAGCGTGCGGCTGGGAGGGGCGAGGACGCGGTGAGTGGGACGAGAAGAGAAAGAGACGGAGAAAGAAATAGAACGAAACGGTATGTTTGTGTAACCAGTGGCATTGGTGGGTAATTTTTCCTAACTCCACCAATTTGAGTTTGGTGAAGCACCCCTTGAAGAGATCCACCAAATTGGTGAATCTGGCCCTTTTTAGTGGATCTGGATTTGGTGGAGCTATGGTGTTTGTCAAACTTTTTGTGGAGTGGAGCTGTTTTTGGTGGATCTGGAATTGGGGGAGCTATCCCAAACAGGCTCTTAGGTGCTCTCACAACTTCACCTGAGAGTTTGTGGAGCTACATCTGCTTAGCTGAAAAATGTAGAGTAGAACTGAAAAACATTGAGCGGAGAAGCCCCAAACAGGCTCTAATATGTGCGACCCACGTATAAAAGAGATAAGCCTTTCTCAATCTGCGATAGCACATATCCCCTATGTTCTACAGACTACAGTTTAGTTTTCTCAATCCATACTAGATTTTCAAGGAAAGGGAAAAGAGGATATAGTGCTGATGATCTTACTGTATAAAAACGAGATTACCTTGATAGCATTAAAAAAATTATACAACAAATATACGAAACTAGGCTACTAACAAACGGTAGTTCTTTAATGTGATGTTTATTCATAGAAAAATCATGAAATTCACCCAAGATTTTACACCATCATGAACGACAGAGTTTTTTTTTTCTCCACTGACGTGTGGATCCCATAAATAAAAAAGCCCTATGCTCTACATTTTCAATCAATACCGAAGGATATAAAAAGGCTTTCGAAGTTGCTCTCAGAAAGATCCGGTATTAGTTGAACAAGGTTAAGACCTTTTTCTTATCTATATTCCAAAATATGTGAATCTTGATTTATTTTATTTTTTTTTGAGAAAGATCTGTATCTTGAAATTACTAGAGGTTAAAAAAATTACCAGACGGGCTGGCCCAATATCCAGGAGTCCAGTAAACCCATGGGAAGACAAGAGCCCACCAAGTACCCGTCCCGACTTCTCCTCACCACTCCGCCGCACTTGCTCGACCGCCGGCGCCGGCGCCGACGCCGCGCGCTGAGTCACACGCTTGTGTCCTCATCCAGCGCAAAGGGCCGACCGCCGCTGCCTGCCTCTGTGGGCGACCGAAGATGGATGGGGAGGAGGAGAACGTCGGGCCATTCCGCCGGACCAGCGCCCGCACGCGCCGGATGGCCTCGCGCATGGCTTCCGCGCTCGCCAGCTCTGATAACCGCGCCCAGGTAACAACGGCCTAACGTGGGATTTGACTGGCTGTTCCTGCAGTCCTGCTTACCCTCTTCCTCCTATTCCAATCAAGCCGTTTCCCTCTCGTTCATGAAATTATCCCCCTTTTATGTTTTGCTGCCCAGTTATGGATACCTCAATATCTGTGATGCCATGTAGGCTGCTTTAGCTCGCCTTGAAGCTCTTGAGAGCGACAATGCCGGTGTTGAGGTGGTAGATCTTAATGATGATGAGTACGGATCCACGGATGAGGAAGACCCTGGTCAGTTCCTTTCTCATTTAGCTTCGTAGTAATAGTAATGCCATGATGTCAAAAAGGATAAGTTAGATACAGTATGTACAAGCTCGATGACAAAATGTTAACTCTTTGCATATGACAAGTACTGAAACACAGATTTCTTGTGTATGGCATATTCTGATATCACTTCTAGTATCAATTTTGCATTTGAGGTCCGCATGCTACAGCCTACAGCTTGTCAACCTTGTGTTGTTAGCATCTGGAATGCCCCTAAAGTCAGTAATTTATTTATAGATATATTTGAACTCCACATTATACAAGGCTGCAACTTGTCAACTGTAAAGATTCCGGTGTTCACAGTTTCTGTAAATGTTGCATTTGTGTTCTATACTTATATAGGCCTTTTGGGTTGTGGATTTGTGGATGCACATTCAACTCAAATGCTCTACCCACTGAACTAATTAAAGTTCGATGACTGAAGCCATCTTTTGTTTTTGAATTTCATTTCTACAGTCCTTATGCAAAAGAAGCAGTCAAGATTATGAAACGCATAAGACAAGGCAAGGGAAAGCTTTGGAGAAAAAAGGCGGCAAGATCATTCATGGATGTCTTACAGGAAGTAAGCAACCTTGTGCTATTAAGTTTGTTTCTTGCCATGTTTATTTTGTTAGTAGTGTACTTGAAAGATTTTTACTCTGGATCTGTGACAGGCAAATCTGGAATCCCTGCCTCCTCATGTCCCAACATATTTGAGGGCTGCTGTGGGTCCACCAAGCACTTCATCTCGACGGCACTACTGTTCAGTCTGTGGTAGTTCTGCAAACTACACGTGTGTGAGGTGTGGAACAAGATTCTGTTCTTGCCGCTGTCAAGTCATACACAATGATGATACGCTGCCTGAAATTTGTGGCTTGACCAACTGGATATACAAGCTACACTTTGATGTATGTCCACTCCTAGTAATTGCTCATCTGTGGTTTGATCAGTAAGATATGCTTGCTGTGTATGTTTTATACTCTGTATGATGGGGTAGGTAAGTGGTAGGAAACTGGTTTTATTTGCTATGTGCAGCAGTTGAAATTGCTAGGTTGTAGTTGTAGGCCAGCCACTATATCATGAGAAAATGTTATGTGAGTACGTAGCTGTGTTTATGCTTATCTTAGCCTGATTTTCCATGATTTTCTATTGTTGTACTCAACTTATAATATTTGTAATCACCACCGCCTTAGTTTCACTCTTGGAAATCATTTCAAAGATTTTTATGCCTCTAGTGAACATGCTCACTGTGCCAATAAAGTGCCTTTTGTTACAAGGATATGCTTGTTGTGTATGTTGTACTCTGTAGGGTGGGTAGGTAAGGTAAGTGATAGAAAACCATTTTCTCGACACTGCACTGTAGTTGCAGGTGCCTGGTAGATCTCTTCTAAGCCGACCATTTTTTCCCCCCAGAAATGATATGCGAGTTGCTGCAGTATGCAGTAGAGCTGAAAGTAGCTCTTTGTTTCAGTATATCTGAATTGTAATTTGACATTGTTTCTTGGTTAATCAAATGTGGGCAACTGCACTCTGTTACAAAAGGTAGAGAAATGGTTTCTTGCAAAAGTAGATGTGAATTGGCATGTAACTACCCCCATTAATTAGCATAAGGTAGAGAAATGCAAAAGACATTACTGCAAATGCTATGCTAATGCTTGTACCCATGTAGCGGAGTGTTAGATATGATCTAAATAAATATGATATTGAATTTTTTCCTACTATAAATTTCCTTTTGATTCTACTTCAAACATGAGCACATCTTAATAGAATCAAAAGGTGTTTGCTAAATCAAATATCTACAACTAGTGCTAAAAAATGGAGCAAGCATGAAATTCGACCAAAATTTATAACATTCTGACAGGAAAACATACACAGGTTTACAATATTCTGTAGCCTTCTTGTGCTGTATGTAGCTTAGTACCATTAATATTATATTGTAGCTGAATAATCTCAAAAGAAATATTTTCATAGTAAGCAACGATATCATGGGATTTGCTACATGCTCCAAATTGAAACTCCACCAAACAGCAGCACATTACATAAGAAGTTGTGCAGTACCAACAGTAAGCAAGAGCACATTGTAGATGATTATCACCCACTGGCACAGCAGTGTCACCTTCCTTTTGAAAGATCTGTTATAACAGTTGCTGGACATGACATGGCATGCTGATCGTGCATTTCATCCTGAACGGAACCAATGTTCAGCAAACTATTGGGCTCTAAGTCTGATGGGAGATGTGCATCCCTTTGCAGGTACTGCATGACAAGGCGCATGCAAGGCCTCGCATTTGGTGAAGGGTGTGAACAGAGCAAGCCAAGCTTCAGGACCAACTCTATCTCCTCCTCTACATAATCATCTAGTCTTGGATCGGCGGCATGGGTAACGGAACCACTTCGCCATGCCTCAAGCACCCTGTCGCCCAGTGCAAGGTGCTCTCCATGGTTGTTCACCCAGATTGCCCGTTTTCCACAAGCGATCTCCATCATCAGCACACCAAGGGCAAACACATCAGTTGCTTTGGTTGCCTTGCCAAGCCGGGCCAGCTCAGGGGCAATGTAACCCCATGTTCCTGCCACACGTGTGGTGTGAGCATCAGCTCCATGATCATGCAACCTTGCGAGGCCAAAATCACCCAGCCTCGCATTCATCTCACTGTCAAGGAGGACGTTGCTGGTTTTGATGTCCCGGTGGATGACGACCTTCTCCCAATCCTCGTGGAGGTAGAAGAGACCAGATGCAATACCTTTGATGATGTGGAACCTTTGAGCCCAGCATAGATTGGTGGTGCTGTGATCTTGAGTGTGCAAGTAGCAATCAAGGCTTCCATTAGGCATGTAGTCGTAGACCAAAAGGAGTTGTTGCTTATGGCGACAGTACCCAATCAGCTGCACAAGATTGCGGTGGCGAAGATGACCAAGGATGACGATCTCAGCCATGAACTCCTTCATTCCTTGCTTTGAATCTGGCGACACCCGCTTAATAGCAACTGTCTGCTTGGAGACGGGCAGCACTCCTTTGTAGACACCCCCAAAGCCTCCTTTGCCAAGAAGCATCTTATCCTTAAATCCATTGGTGGCAGCCAAGAGATCTTTGTATGTGAAAGACGGAGGCCCATACTCTCTCTGCCATTCTAGTTCAGTTTTCCTTGCTTGCAATTGCCTCTTCATGTAGACCATAGCAAGAGCAGCAGAAACAAGTATGGAAATTGCAACAATTGGTAAGATAACTATGCATAGTATTGTCTTGAAGCTGTGTGGGCGAGCTTCTACTTGCTGCGCGAGTTCTTGGATAGCCTTGAGAGATAAGGCGGAGTAGTTGAGTGCTGCAGCTTCTCCATTGAGCTTGAAGCTCCAGCCAAGAACGTAATGCTTGCTGTTACGTCTGCCACTGGATGAGGAAAACCCAGCGTACACTGTCGTGGTTGGCAAAACCGAGGAAAGATTGTATGTAATCGAGAGGAGTGGCCTGCTGGGTTTGGTGGACAAGAAGTAAGGCGCTATTGTGACATTTAGCATGGCGTGCTTGCTGTCATAGTCCACCCACACCTGCATTGGTTTTGTACTGAAGAGGGTCAAATTATGAAACTCCCCATCAGAGGTGTAGTAACCTGCACTCGCTGAGGCAACGGAGTTCAGGGAGTTGACATCAATCCCGATGTGGTTGTCGTCGATGTCATTGAATTCCTTGTTGAGTGTGGTATCGAGTTCGATAGCAAGAAGATGATTTAAATAGTTGCCATAATTCCATTCATTGAAAGAAGTAAGGCCCAAGAACTGGCCAGGCAAGGCACTAAACAACTCCTTGGTGGAAGAAAGCACAAAGGCAAGACCATGGCTACTCAAGTCATGGTACTGCGGGATGATGGCGAAGACAAATGTTGTGGAGAAGGATGGAACAGAAGAACCATTCAGGACGATGTCACTCGTGAAATTGAGAGGGTAAGTGTAGAAAGCATGACCTTCCGACTGGTTCTGCTCGCTGGTTAGCCTGAGAAGACCGTCAGAGACTACGGCTTCACCATCCATGGTTAGGTCGTTACCAAAGAAACCATCGAAGACGAACTCACCGTAACGATCACCAGAGGCGCCAGTTGTCCGAGAGGCAGGCAGCATCAGAAGCAGGGGTATGAGGAGGAGATGCTGCAGGTGCAGAAGGCACCAGGGTACTCATACCGAATCAGTGCAAATTACTGTAGAGCCCCTATAAATTTTTAGGCAAAGTTCTATAGTGTAGGGGGCTGAGACTTAAGATCAAGCAGCAGTGTTGTTCAGCGCCCCCCCCCCCCCCCCCCTAAAATATTTCCTGGATCCGCCGCTGGCCAGATGAAGAAAGGATGCGATGCTTCCGCACAATTTTGATAGATCTATGGAGTAACCAGCTAACAGGTCAATGATCATAGGTTTGTCTCATTTCAATGTTACTACTCAGGGGAGGAGACCCGCAACTGGGTCAAGCACGCAAGCCTTACCTAACTCGTCCAACACGATGACAGCACAGGTACCCAACTTTGATGTACAATCATAGTCCAAACACTCACCAGTGTTTCCACGCGTAGTCGGAGACAATTGACACGCGGTGTTGGACCCTTTAGCTGTTGAGAAAGCGCGAATACAATTGACTAGTTATTTCGTTTGATTGAACAATGGCCTTTGCATTGCTTGAAGTAAAATGCAGATAGCTACTCCCCAACAAAATGTGAATACCCTGAATGATTAATGATCTTCATAAAGCTGATGAATGGCCAAAATTAAGACTACCGAAGTGTTACTAATGCTTTGAGCCTCTCCGGCTTTCAGCAGACCGGCAGGTCAGCCGGCGGTGCCTCCAGGGACTCCAGCTCCCCAACGCCGTCCTCCACCAGGAACGCCATGGCGAGGCCCCAGGTGATGTGCACATCCAAATGGCAGTGCATCAGCCACACCCCCGGATTATCCGCCACGAACCGGATGACCGCCCACCCATTCACCGGCACGCCCACGGTATTCCTCATCGGCGGATCATCCAAGTTGAACTTGGCGGTGTCCGTTGCCACATCGAAGTTGCCGAACCCCTCGGCGAGGATGTAGAAGTCATAGCCATGGAGGTGGATGGGGTGGTTCTCGGCGGCGAACACGTTGGTGCCCTGGAGCACCAGCTGCACGACAGCGCCGTACTTGAGCCTGTACACCTTGGTGCCCGGCACGGGCTGCCACAGCGCGCGGCTCACGTTCTGCGCCGTGTAGTCGAACTGCACCGGCGGGTTCGCCGGGAAGTCGGAGGTGAACACCCCCGGCGCCGACGCCGCCCCGCCGCTGGTGTAGTGCGCCTGCAGGATGGAGGTGGTGGACGGGAGCACGAAGGAGACGTTGTTCATGCTCGCCGCGAACCGCGTGTTGTTGGGCCCGCCGCAGGTCTGTCCGCTCGAGCAGTTGAAGAGGCCGACGCCGACGGTGAAGAAGAGGCTCTCGTCGACGCGCGTCGGCAGCTCCGCCTTGCGCAGGCCGCGCAGGCTCGTCGTGAACGCCGTCGCCGTCGCGGTGTCGTTGTACGCCGGGAGTGTCGGCATCGCGGGACTGCTGATGGTGGAGGTGGTGTTGGCGGCGCCGTAGTCGAAGATGGCCGTGGTGGTGGTGTTATCGAAGGGGACGCCCTGCGCGCTGGCGTAGGCGCGCGCGGCGAGGTAGTAGCGGCCCGGGGCCTGGTCGAAGGTGACGAGCACGTCGGTGGTCTGGCCCGGCGCGATCATGAGGACCGACGTGGCGTACGGCTTGGTGTAGGAGGCGTCGGCGCCCACCACC